TTATAGTTACTTTTTATGTATAATCTATAGAATTTCTATTAGGTTGGGAAGACTCTTTTGAAACTCTTTGAACTCCTTAACATTGGTGACAGTTTGAAAATCACTGTGCACAGCCAAGAGGTAAACGCACGCTGCCGTGTACCTTTTTATTAATTTTTTCCACGCAGGTATAATCAATTCATGAAGACACTCTGTCGCTTTCTAAGCCGTCAGTCTTTGAGTTATGGTTTTATTCTATCTGATTTCAGATTTCTCCAAAATAGAGTGCGTGTACGACAATCCATACTGCGAGATACCGCTTTATTTCCCAACACGGAACCGTATTCAAGAGAGGTACATATAAGCTGAATTTTAGTTCACATTCTTCTTTCAATTATCGAATTGGCGTCTACGATAGAGCTCGCAGAAGGTTTACCAAAGCTAAAGGGAGGAGAGCGAGGCGGGCTAAAACAGGAAGGGTGAGATATAGTGGAAAAAATGTATTGTGACAATCTTGAATGAGGATTCCACGATGAGGTCGAAGAAGCTTAAACTGATATAATGGAAAGACAGGCGGCCCCCTGAGGGTGCGGACCGTCACGCAATTTGCAGAAGCAGATTTGCAACAAAAGAGCGCCCAGTGATACAGCATGGCCCTCCAGCGGCGAAGTCGGCGCGGCACGCCCACCAACTCTCTAGCCACTCGCCGCAGTTCTTTAGCCGTCTTGCAGAATGAGTGTCACCGTTGGAGTCAAGGAGCAAGAAAGGGGTCCCTTCTCGATTTCTAGACCGTTTTTCTTGATTTTTCATTGGTTCCAGCACCACTAGCCGCCTCTACCTTGGTTCTAATGGGCTGCCTTTCAGTCGTAAATCCCGCCTTCAAACGTAATCAGTAGCGTTGCTAATGCCAGTGTAGTTGAAAAGTCGGACGAGCCTTGGAAATGTAACAAGTAAAGAGATTTGGGAAGTGATCTCGTCCCTTTTGGCTCTTTGAGTTAGGGGGTAGGCAGTAAGGCATACAGCGTTGTTCCATCATCTACAGGGTGCGCCACGCACTCTAAATCGTTCATAAACGTAGTGGTCGTTGAATGCGCTTTAGTCCTCACAATGGCCAGCAGGGCCAGCCTAGGTACAAGTTGGAAGGTTTAGTCTTCCCATACGAATCTAATATCAATTACTCGACCCTAAAGAATGCAACGCTTGATTGGCTTGAACGTCATCTTCCGACATTGACCTTCCGGAACTGGAACTCCCTGTCACCGAACCACCACGGGTCTGGTGCACTTGTTACTTCCTTAAAAGCACATCTTCATGGACAGCCCTGTGATCTACTTGGAGCCTAGAGGGCTCGATATGCAGTGGTTTCTAGCGATGCCTCTACCTTTGAAAAACATCCCAGCCCTCAGAGATATGTGAATGGGTGTTTTGGAGTGAAGAAGTTTTGAGCGATTCTGGGTATCATCGATACGACGCAAGTTGTGAAATTGATTTTAAATACCGGCCAGACCTCACCTATTAACTTTTTCTTCGCGCAATCATGATTTTTGAGCTTTCCCAACATCTGATTTAAATTCCAACCATGCTTATTCTCCGAGTTATCTGTCTGGTCGGCTTGAAAGCTGAAAAAGCAATTACACAAGAGATTATTTCCGGCTAACGCTGTGGTTCCGGAGTGTAAATAGACCAGATCAAAGAAAAATTGATTCATTTTCGTACATTGCGCGCAATTTGGAACTTCAGGCATATTCGTTACAAGACTGTGGACGAGACGCTGACGCTACCGGACACGAAAGTCACTTTGATTCACAAATCAGAAGACGAAAAGAAGCTTGTCTATGATTTTGTAGTGAGAGGTGAGTAAATTGCATTTCGGAGGAAACGGCGCTCCTTTGTTGACTTCAAAAGAGCTTCGTACGAATGATTCTCATTTTGAGCGGACCATGGTTTATGTAATGCGGGATTGGCTTTCCGTGCGCAGGCTAGACTTCGTAGATATCATTTATTCTGATTACTTCTCCTCCCAGGAAAGCCTTCAGGGCGTGCCAACCTTCTTAGACCAGTTTTTTTGCCCGTTATGGAGGCACATGCAGCAGGAGTGAATAAAGAGCTGGCGAAGAAAGATGCGCTGCCAAGAAAGGCACCGAAGTGGCGCCGAGTTTCGTCATACTGACGCCAGATGAATCAACGCCAAATATCATATTCGTAATCAGGGAAAGCTATCGCAAGATAAGAGGGAATCCCCTAGAACTAAGCCTAGAAGTGGGACAGCAACTTCGAAAAAAAGTGAAAATCGCTCACGCATCCTACAGTTTCCCCTCCCGCGGCTGAGGTTTGGTCCCCTATTCAACAAGAAAGAGATATTTTACGCATTTCCAAGTGCATTGCCGCCACAGTGCCCCCCGTATATTTCGACAGCGCCAATCAGAACACTGAATAACACCTATACCAAAAGTTTCGAAGGAAATTTCTATATCTCACCTAGCTTCGAACAACTGGACCACAAGTAGACCAGTAAGTTCATAGGTTCTCAGACTCAACGGGAGACGATTTTGAGGCGATCTCCTTGTTGTCGTACTCACGAAAGGGCATGTTCTGTCCCTCAATTGACAATGTCACACACCCGACCCGGTGATGGCCGAGACGTCACGCACAACTAGTTCGGCTTCGAAGAACACAACGCAGTGTGAAGTGCCTCATAAGGGAGAAGCTGGGTTCCCGTGTTAATCACTAGGACGACATCACTTCGAAGTTATTTGAGTTACTGTTCTCTGTACTTTGTTTCTCTCAAAACTTAATTGTAGAGACAAATCAGTACGTTAACAACGAACACCGCGTCCTTCTTTATCGCCCGCGCCAATCGGTGCCATTTTGGCGCCACAACACTTTCTCCGATTGTCGGGGAAAACTCATCTAAATGGGATATTCACGACTGGGGTCATGATTATGACGGTATTTTGGAGTGCCATTCGGCGCTCATCATAGGGCGCCCACCAAAAATGCAAGGTGATGGCTGCAGGGAGTCGAACCGAATGTACCACCCTGCCCGTTAGGCCACTGGGCACCGCACACACGTCGTGTTGACATCGCTCACGAAAACACAACACTTTCCTAAGCACTGATCGTGAGGTCGGAGAACAGCATGATTTTGTCCGAACTTCGCCGTATTTTCGGAGTAAGGTTAATCGGAACGTTTTGGTATGACAGTAGCCAACGCTGTGGACGATGTAAGTCACATTGAAGCGGTAGAGAAAGGGAAGCTGTTTCCAAAGTAATTGTTCTACGCCCTTTTTTGGTATTCGGAGAGTCGTTCAGGAAAAGGAATCATAGTTCTGTGGTACCTTCGTGTGCCCCTGTACCATGCAAAAAACCGTTTTGAAGTTTGGCACGTCCAATTTCCTTTCTGGCTATTACAACACCGTACTCGCTTTAGGTGGTAATCAAATGTCGATATTTATGGTACCGCAAAGTGGTTGGCGCATTGCCAACTGTACCTTGTCGGCTCCACGAAAAGAGTTGGACGATCGACCACTTTTCCTGTTCTTCACCTGCAATGGCGATAAATGCGGAGAATTTGGATTCCAGCTGACGTTAGGGGTGAGGTTTTCGTATGGTCCATTCGTGAATTCGCACAAAATGCGCATAATTTCAGCACCCCGGTGTACCGAACGGCGACGACGATTCGCAGTTGCTGCTTGGTGTTGCCAGCCATTACCTGTACGGACAATACATGCAGTCACATACCATCAGGCGCCTTCTTTCCGACATCACCAAGAGACGGCAAAACGATTCCGCTTGGGCGATTACGGCCAGCGCGTGGAATGTTGACTTGATCTATCAGTATTATTAGAGGATAGAAGAGGACTTTAAAAGAGTTACATAGGATAGCAACGCGTTTAATTTCTATAAATGATCAGAGCCGTGCTGTGTTGGTGGTATTACATAGAAATTTAATCTACTTTTAAAGTACCCTACTGTTACATCACTTAAAGGCAAGATTCAGGATTGAATTATGAGTTAATTCCACTCAAATGTGAAAGTAGGGGTAGGTAGTGGACCGCCAGTGCAGAAAAAGAAAAAAAATCGTGAAATACACAGGAAATACGAGCCTTTTGCTCTACGCTGCGGAGAAGTTCAAAAGGCCGGCAGGGAGATGAGAGATAATGTGAGCGCGGAGAGCGCTAGAGAAGTCTAAGTAGAGAGAGCATAGCAGATCAACATTCGACGCAGACAAGATATCGAGCGGTGGGCGGAGCGTGTCGCAGCAGGTGGAGCGTGTCAAAGTTCTTAAACCAACCATGCGTATGTAATGCTAACCTTATAACTACCCATACTGTAATCACTCAAATATTTTATGCAATCGCTGTGTTCAACGCTTCAAGCAGGGTGAGAATCCGTGCGAGTGTAATAATGATCATCAGCCACTGGAAAGTGTTATGGCACCCTCGAAAGATAAGTGATTCTCAAAATCTGGCTTCGAGGGAGCGTCGGGATACCGATTTAGCACGAGTTTGCCACTTAAAGCAATATCTCTTTCGAATTCGGCTATGATTGGCAGCAACAAATAGTTTAGAAGGCGGTGGTGGGCGCTTTCTAACAATGGCATCAGCTTCCCTCCTACACTTTCTAGGAGAGATATTGCGCGTCGAGGATCTATCAAGGATGATTCTCGGCAGCTCAAAAAGCCGCTCCTTCTTCACAATTGCAAGTGTAATTCGTTGGCAACGCTCGAAATGTGTCTAGAATACATTCTTCAAATATATGTTATAAGAAAAGGGACAATCGTTACCATCCGATTTGATCTGGTAGAGCAGCCCGCAAGCTGGCAGAACGATGGAAAGTGTTATCCAGTCATGGAACGCATTACAAAAACCGCCATTGTAGCAAGACACAGGTCGACAACTAAGATCTAAAGAACAACTTTATTTCCGCAGGATCTTATCGCTTCACGTGTCGGGTAGCAGTGTTCCTAAGTACACCGGTATACTCAACGAAGGTATTGAGAAGGGGAGCGGGTGGGTTAGATGGAGGAGGTGCCTTAGTAGCTATGTGCGCATGTGACCCCGCCGTCCTTCCTGAAGATGCACTTTCATTCTTTGTACTGCTTTCAAATACGCCTCCTCATGAAAGGTAGAGGAATGGAGCGACTGAACCTGCAAAGAATATTTATATCATGTTTTTTCAGATATTTTCATTTTCTGCTGCGCTATACCCTCTTACCCTATCTGCACCACGATACCACTGCTGTTACTGACCCCAAGAGTACGACCCCCCATGACCCAGCCCGACAGGTACGACCCCCCTGTCGAGGATTTCCTCGACCGATATTCACCCTGCTCTGAAGCACTTCTGACTTGGTCACAAGGCTTCTGTCAACCGAATTGTGAGACTGTAGAAGGGAAAGCATTCACTTTGTGTGATAAGCTATCACACAAAGTGTAGCACAAGGCTTAGCTCACACAAAGTGTAGCATTCACTCTGTGTGAGCTAAGCCTTTTAAAGGGAATAAAACAGCAGAGATGTTGTTGCGTGCATGTTGAGGGATCCCAAATAGCACTACGGAACGCTGAATAACCTAACCTGACGGTTGACAAATGTACTGAGACTTCTCAACTACTAGGATGTCACGTACATAGCTGTGAATCGCTTTGGCTATTTCTTGATTTTCTTTTTTTGTTGTTTATCTCAATTGCTTGCTCGACCATACATGCACCGCTATCATCTACAAAATATTGACCACGATGGGGAGAATGGCCGTCTTCCTCTGATATTCCATGGTCCTGATCGAAGAAAGATGAGACGGCGGTTTTGAGACCATGCCACTATCGTCTTGAAATTTCTTTTTGGGAAGGAACTCAGAGTAAGTGATCGTTCGTTGGCGCGAGGTTGGGGCTACTGGGCGCAGCTGAAGGAACTGTCAGCCTGAAAATCTCCAATTTTTTCTATGAATTGTCGCAAGGTAGGGTCGAGGGACCTCAGAGAAAAACAGACTTTGTTCTGCTTTGTTTTAAAATTGTCACCATCAAGCTGTTGAGGTTTGTCTTCATCACTGACCCAGGTACATATTATCGGGTGTCGGTTCCCAGCCCAAATGCCCTCTTGTGTTCGCTTGGTACTCTACTTTTTCAGTTGCGGGTGTGCTTCTGAGAACGGATAGAACTTCGTAAGTACTGCAGCTACGTTACGGCTTCAATTTTATCAATTTAAGGAGAAGACGTCAAAGAAAAAACTACCACCTCTTTAGTACGGCAGCTGTCACCCTTGAAAAAATGTTGTTAGTAAGCAACTCTGTATAGTATGATTTCTATTTATTTTGTGTAGTACATACAATGGTTGTTAGGATTACTTCGTCGGCTGGATTTCTCAAAATTTTTATTGACATAGTTGAATACAGTTCGTAAAATGCAGGGCGCATTGCGGCAGGTAGAGCATTTGAGTAATTTCAGAGAGACAGACGAATAGTCGACTGAAGAACGGTTCAACGTTGAACGGTGGACGGATGGGGAGCTCAGTGGAATTACGTCGGTCCAGCCGGTCTCATCAAATTGTGGGGATATTCTCCTTTCGTCTTCGGTGAAAACAACAAATTTGACCTGAAAAATTGTTTCTTCGATGTCTGCGATCTTCTTGACCAAACTATCACCTTGGTGAAATCGTCAAAACACTTAATGTCAGTGAATTCTCTCAAAAACGCCACGTCTCCGACCTTGGGGGTTCCCTTAGCTAAGAAAAGGCTCGGGAGCTTTTCTTCATCGTGAATTGACCACAATTC